TTATATGTTAGAGAATGAATATTTTCTAAATAAGCTAATTAATGTGTTTATGTTTTTGATTGAGTTAACTACTCCCTCCGTCCCCCTGTATTTGTCCACATTTGACTTTTGGAACTGTTCATCTAAGCACTTTGACTCATCAAATTCTCTCAATGTGTAAGTCTAAATATAGTCATGTGTGATCTTGTTTGATTTGTCTTAACATATAGATTATTAATATATAATTTTTATAATTTTTTAATATACAAATTACAAGATAAAATGGATTAAAGAAATGCATTGAACGGTGTGTAAAAATGAAAGTGGACAAATACAGGGGGCAGAGGCCAGAGAGAGTATTTAGTACGGAGTATCGTAATTCTATTGTGCTAATACAAGTTCAAATCTGAACTTCATTCATTTTTAATTTGAATAATTAATATTTGCGTGCTGCAATGTGATGCTTGTGCAAGCTATACTATAGTATAGTAAAATAATTTCGTGTTTAATTTTTAAAAAAATTAATTGAGCAAATACATTGAGACAAATACATTGAGACAAAGGAGGGGTAATATGTAGCCTCCTAAGATGTTTAATTTTAGAGTAAATTCTTAAAATGATACTCAATAACTACGTATTTTTCCAAATTAGTTCACAAGATGAACTAATTATCTAAATGGTACTCGTTACTTGAGAATAATGTTTAGTTTAGTCCCTCCAATTAATGGCATCAAAATTGATACTAACTTCCCATAAAGGTCATCTCTAATTGGATGTCTTTTCAAATAAGTCTAGATTAGAAATAAAAACTCATAAAAAATGATCTTTCGATTTCGCTCAAACATCGCAAACCAATTAAAAGAGGAGATTTCTGCTTTGATTTTTTCATATTTAATGAATGTTTACTTCAAAAATGAATCAATTTGAGAAAACATCCAATAAGAAAGGATAATTTTGAAAAATAGTACTCCCTTCGTCCCATGAAACATTAAACTTTTGCTTTTTAGGAGGGATTTAAGGGGAGTGTATTTTGGTATTGAATTTTCAAAAATGTCCTTTGATGTGATGGGTAAAAGTATGATTTGATGGATAGATTATTAGTAAAAAGGTATGATGTGATAGTTAGGGTATGAAAAACTAAGAGGTAAAAGTGACTTTTTAATAGAAATGAGAAGTGTTTTGTGGGACGGATAAAAAAAGAAAGGAGAAAGATTTCATGGGACGGAGGGAGTATAAAATTTAACGTTGTTCAGGGGCGGAGGGAGGGGGGGCATGCCAGGGCAAGTGCCCCCCCGGTGAAATTCCGGAGAAATAGTATTAGAGTGCCCAATCGGCGATGGGAGGCTGGATTTGCCCCCCCAGATCTATCGCAGTGTCCGTCCGATTGAAGAACAAGAACTTCCGGCCGCCAGCCGATCGAAGAAGAAGAATGGGAGAAGCAATTGCCGAAAAAAAAAGAACACAAAACGACGTCGTTTTGTTTTGGGTTTAAAAATAATCCTTTGACCAGCCCAACACTCTACGGCCCAGTATCAAATTGCCCAAAAGAAACGGAGGAAACAATTATGTCAGGACTCAGAAGGCCTCCACTAACTCCAGTATTATTCGGTTGCTGCAACACTCCACTAACTCCAGGACTATTCGGGAGTCACGAAACCAGAAGAGGCTGGGCGGCTGGCTGAGGGATCGTACTAGAAGGCTGAAGGGCGAAGACAGATTCCATTTTTGAGCTCTTTTTTGTGCTTCTTCATCTAATCGTCATATCTTCTCTCATTATTTAGGTATTATATTTCAATT